TCTGACAATGTCTTTGTAAGCTCGCCATTATACCATATGTACACCATCCATCTTCTCTGCTCCGAGAAAGATGCATTCTGTCGTTAGAGACCAAGGGTGTAACTGTGTCTGGCAGTACTTGAACTCTGAAAGTTGAAACGCAGTTTTAGGGCATGCTGGTGTGTGCATATGCAGTCACCATGATACCATTCCCCAGGCCGCAAGTGTTTCTGCTGCTGGCAGGCTGCACTTGATCTGAGCTCCTCTTCCATCTGCTTCATCCTTGGAGCTGACTGCTGTGGCCACTCACAGAGCAATTTTGGCAGCAGCAAGGTACAGATGCCCAGCTCGGGAATGAGTTTTTGAAGTAGTGGCATCTCAGTGTCAGCTTGCCTTCCCAGCTGGTCTCTTCAGCATTCTTCTCTGGCTGGACTCCTGGTTCTCCTGGCCGCTCAGAAGTTGGGGTCAGCCTTTGTGGCTTTCTGGTCTTCCCAGAAGAACACTTGTCTCTGATTAGTCCCTCTGAAGGAGCTAAAAGCTATCTTTCTACATAACTTTAAAAGTAAAATCACTCCGAAAAATCTCATGAAACTCACATAGAAACCTCTATGAAATGACATTTAATAATGTGATAGATTTCCATTCTCGTTGAAAATTTCTTCTGTGCTCTACTAGTGTATGGTAGATTTATTTCTTTAATATGAAAGAGAGCTTCATAAAGTCTGGAATAATTTCCAGAAGATAAACTAGAACATGCCTAAAATTACTCATGTACAGGCATATTCTATAACTTATTGTTGAAGCAGTCACCATCATTCTTATAGCAGATACATTAAAAAGCATTTCAGTACCTCCTGCTCTTACACTGTCAGCAATGGATTCAAAGAAGAACTGAAAATTACTGTCTCTTGCTCCAAACATGACTGAAATTAAACATTTTGCTCTATTCTAGGAATTTTTATTCTATTAAGGGGAATCTCTTCAGGCAGATATATGCCCTTCCCTCCTCTGTTCCCCTGCAAATATACAAATAGGGGAAATAAAAAATGCTCCAGAGCTTTGAAAGCCCAAAGTCACCAAGTATATTGCCTTGTTTCTTCCTCTCTCTTGCTTTGCTGTGAATTCTGAATGCTACCTGAAGACTAATTTTTAACTTTACTATTTTCTCGTGCCTCTGACAGTACTAAATATGGCTTAACCACTGATATCTCACAAATTCTCTTTCCGTGTCATGTCTGTACTCATAGGGAGTTTGATAGTTCACTGAAAATTATTGTGTGCATTTGCAGTTTCAAATGTATACAGGCTATGTCTACCGAATCCTTTTTCTTTTCAAAGCATTGCTGTTCTGGAGGTTACAGCAAACTCACGTTGCAAATGTGATCTAGAACATCTGCAGAGATTTTGCTGTGTTAAAATGTCACAAAAAGAAATTATTGTATCCCTGGATTTACTGGGACATCAGGCCAGAATTTCTGTATCTTAAGTAACTTTTTTTTCTACAAGAGAATATATACATAGTAATGACTTCAAGTAGAAAGTGAATATTATTTTGAGAAGAGCATATTTAAGGTGTTTAAGTATTTTTGTCTACCTCAGAAAGGAATTAAGGGGAAAAAAAGTAGGTAAAAATATACCTTATAGCAATTTAATAATATATCTTACTGTAGGTATTGAAGGAATCAACTGTTCAGATACACTCACATGGCACTACTCAGGTATCCGATTGGACCTGATTGCATAATCCTGTTTTCTAGTATAAAGCTAGTTCTCATATGGAATTAGGTAAAGACACTCAGTCTATACCACTGTGGATGGTCAGGAGCTGGGTTTTGCTCTGCCCACAGTGCTGAGCAACTGTGGTTTTTTTTTGTTCTTGATTATGTTTTGCACTTTAAAGGGACTCTTGACCTAGAGGACTACCCAAACAATAGTATCATGTGAACATCCTGTCTTCTCTTCTTCTAAATAAACACACTGTCTAGACACTACTCTTTGATCACTGTGCAAAACCAGATGCCTTGACTCATAGACTGTGTAAGTTTTAAAGGCTGTCCTTAATAGAGTGGAGTTATATATTTTGTATTAATTTATGGCTTAATTAGCAGATTGAACAAAGAAAATATTTTTTTAAAAAAGATAATTTGTTTTTCCTAATGTTACAGATCCAGCCTTAGTTGTGAAAGTTTTGATGCTGTTTTTTTTTCTAGCTTGTACATTTTCTGTTCTAAAAAACAGAAGTGTTGATTGTGTGAATAAGATTCAACTTACTCTTCAGTATGATATTGACTCTTCAGTGAGAAATTAGTAAAATGTAGTAATATACGCATGTCATTATTCCTGGAGTAGATGGAGTATGTTTATATGAAGAAAGGAATTTTACTGATTAAAAACCACCATATACTCATGTTTTGGATGAGGTTTTCAGTAGAAGAGAACTGGAGTGGAGAAATACCAGTGGATACCTGTGTACAGTAAGACGTGCAGAATATTCTTTTCATGGCAAAAAGTAACTTGCTATATTCTCTGCAGCATTTTCTCCTGCCTTGATACATGCCTCCAGATGCATGGTAGAAGGTTATAAGTAGTCGGAGATTCCTCTTGCGCAGACCCTTTGTTGCTGTCACTCAGTTTATATCACTTTTTTCAAAAGAAATTAATGGAACAATAGCGAAACAAAGTCCATTATCAATCTAGCTGAACTATAAGGATTAGGTTGGTAAACATAGGTGTGGTTTGTTTTGCTCTGCAGCATAAGCTAATTTGAGCTGGATGCATGGTCATCTAGGCTGAGATCCTCAACACAATTCTCACAGTAAGTTATACCTGCAGAACTGGGGTGTTTTCTTCAAAAGCAGAAAAAGTAGAAAGAGTAAGAAAACAGTGTACCCAAGCGCATTTTCTGTTTTGTCCTAGAGCTCTCTGCTAGCATACCAAGCACACTGTTTTTGGGAGTGAGGCTGCAGTTTTCCAGAACTGCAAGAGAACAGTGAAAACCAGAGAAAACACAAAGCATTTCTCATTTGTGGCAGTTCAAGGCAACGGACAATGAGTTGTCAGTTAAAAGGGAGTGTGTGAAATAAAACTCAGAGGGGAGCAAAAAGGATCATGATGGCACATAAGAAATCGTATTTTTTTTTTCCCTCTGCATGTAAAACCTCTTTCTAAGTAAGCAGGTTTTGTGGTGTGTGGTTTATCTTGAGGGATCTGAGGTTTGTTTTGATTTTTTTCTGTGAAGAGTAGTTTAACCCAGAAGAAGAAAAGTGCCCTGTTGAATAATAAGGATCCACTTGGTTGCTTTATTTGAAAGCTGTTTGGGAAACGGCGGGAGACTTGGGAAACAAATGCAGTTGAGAAGAAAACTTGGTTGCTGGGACTCTTAACTCTTTACTAAGAAAGTCTGGACAGTAGCTACTTTGGAAACTATTTTAAAAGGAAAAGGATTAAACCAGCAACTTTTAGTCCTTTTATCCAGTAAGTTTGCTGGATAAAACAGCAAGTATAGGCAATGTGGACTGCTTGTTCAGCAAGGCTTGGAAGAAAAGAAGGAAAAACGGTGTCAGTGGCAGCTGGAAGTGATTCTCACTGATAGTTTCTCACAGGTTCTGCACTATTTTCATGTTAAGATCCCTTTTTATATTGAGTCAAATGCATGGGTATTCTTGACCTCTTTTTTTTTTTTTTTATTTTTATTCTTTCAAAATGAATTTTTGTTTATATATCTTCTGTTCAGTTTTACTTATACGAGAAGTATCAATTTATGTTGAACAAGTATTCAATGTTGAACTCCAGATTATGGAATGTGAAGCATTTTGTTTCTGAAGATTAGAATCTTAGAGATATCAGGAGTTTACTTGGAGCCAGTGATGCAACAGTAATATATGTTTAAGCCTTCACAGAGTGACAGTTTTATTGGCACACTTAGAGAGTGAAGTTTTTATAGGAAGTATGCAGCTGCATTAACTTCCATATGTAGCCCTTTCCTGGTCTCTGGGCATCACATTCTAAAGTGAATTAGAAAAATTACAGAAGATAAATGGCATATTCGTGGATCACCCTGATTAAAGCCTTTGGCTGGGAGAAGATAATTTGAATAATAAAAAAATAGTATATTCTGCAAATGATGTGAACGGAAGATCTGAATCTAGTAAAGAGTAAATCAAAACTGTGCATAAGTTTGAAGAAGAGTGCATGTGAACTCTGGAAACAGGTGAAGAGTATTTAATTATTTTTGTTAAATTACTTCTCAGCAAACTCCCACTGCTCATGTTTTACCACCTATGGTGGATACCACTACAGGTCAAAGATCTGATCTTGTATTGCTGGCCATGTCTTGGTTTGAAAAATGAAATACATAGCTCAGCATTGCTAGTGTGGTGTTCTGTTCTTACTGGAGCCCTTGTCCTCTATTATTATTCTCTTTATCTCTCATGTAAAATCAAGAATAAGGAGACTAGAATCAATAGTTCCAGAGAAAGAAGCATAGTAACCAGTCTCCTGTATATTTGGTGGAGAGAGATGATAAGACGGAAACAATACTGTCATGTACCCTCCCTTTGTTCTAATCAGTTGCATTAGTTTGCATTCATGCACTGTGGTGTTTTTGCTGTGCCAGAAATTACCAAGGAGATTGCTCGGATGAATAAAAACCCCAACAACTTAATTCTATTCCGTCTTTCTCTCCTTACTGAAAAAGTAGCAATCCTTGTCTTGCACTGATAGATAGCTGTACTCCCTCTGTAGCTGAGTTTATATGTGAAGTGTGATCTCTTACTTTACAGCACTGCATTGCAGTGGTGTAGGTAATGCTCAGGCAGTGCATGTGTGCCAGAGTCCCTTGGCCAGAAGGACTCAGGTTCACTGATATTTGTCTCAAATGCCCTGACTATTGAACAGGTCAAACATTTCCAGCTTTTAGTTTTTGCTTATGCCTTCTTTTGTTCTCCTTGTTCGCTGGTTTTGCAGTTTCTTTGAAAGGTGCTCAAATAAACAAAGAGGCTCATTCTTATTATTGCTTGCAGGTTTCCAACCTGTACCTGTATGACAGTGTGCTCATGCTGGCCAATGCTTTCCACAGAAAACTGGAGGACAGGAAATGGCACAGCATGGCAAGTCTGAACTGCATGAGGAAATCCACCAAACCTTGGAATGGAGGACGATCCATGCTAGAGACTATTAAGAAGGTGAGAAAAATAAAACCACAGCTGTGTGAGCAACTGAAAGAGTTACTTCATTTCTACTCGAGCATTTGAAGAGGTTTTTAATTTTTATTCAACTTTTCTGTATTAAAAGCAAGTGATTTATAACTAGCAGGAATGATCCAGAGCTATGAAACAAGTAAATGATTTTATGATAAACAAATTGCAGACATTGCAGCGTTGCTCCAGCGATGTGCGTTCTACTCCTGTTGTTCTCAGAGCTACCTTCTGTGGAGGTTGTATGATTAGGAGTGGTCATAGAAATTGATACATTTTATAAAGAGAACAACCTAAGGAGCTCAAGGGGGCAACCAGTGATACCGTTTAAGACTTTTGTTCCATTTACTACAACTCAACTAGCTTTGCATGTTAGCTGAGCATTGGTAAGTATGTTTTTGTGCACTGTAGGGATCTGATTTAGCTAAGTTGTCACTAATAGTTGTGTTATGTGTAACGTGTATGTGTTATGTGTAACGTCTTGCAGCATTGCTGAATTACTCAAATATGGACAGTACTGTGGTTTTGCAGATGCATGACAGCTTCTTGTATGAAATTTACTTGATCACAAGTACCACTGGAAAAAACACTCCCATTTTTTACTGTCCTGACTTTAGAAATTATTCTGAAGAAACCCCTTGTTTCCCAATATAAATCGATGAAATAATTTTCCTCTAGTAAAAAGTTGTAGTTTGATTATTCTGACCAGTCCTAATGATGCCATCCTTTGTTGCTAAATTATGTGAAACTTTGGTGTCACTTCAAGCTTCTTTGCTACAAACCCAAAATCAAAGTCGGTGATACTTTCACAGAGATACTTAGAATTGAATTTTCTCTTTTTTTCCCCTGCCTCTCTTGGGAGCACAGCTCTTTCTTTTGGACTGAATGTTCATGCCTTTGTATTCAGACCCAGAATAGCTGTTGTCTCACAGCCCACCGAAGTAATTCTTCTTTTCTTTGGGCTCTGTTTCTGTGAACAGTGATGACCTGATGGCCATAAACAGTGGGTGTGTTAGTGCTAAAGTAATTGTCAAAAAAAAACCCCAACAGCCAACCAACCAAACAGTAACAAAAAAACCTCAAAATAAACAAACAAAACAAAACAAATACCAAACAAACAAAAACCACAAAAAACCCCACAAAACAAAGAAACAAACAAAAACCAAAACTACCCAAAATTAAAGTCTTTTGTCTGGTGCTGGTTTTGGGGTGAGCTACTTAAGGACATGTAATTACTCTATTTAAGTTCACTGTAAGCATTTTTAAAGCAGATTTTGCACACCTTTAATGCAGAGGAGTGTTTATAAAGGTAAATTTGTTCTATTCTAAACTTTTTGAAACTTATTTCCTCAGGGCCATATAACTGGGCTTACTGGTGTTATGGAGTTCAGAGAAGATGGTGCCAACCCCTATGTTCAATTTGAAATCCTGGGCACAAGCTACAGCGAAACCTTTGGCAAAGATGTGCGGAGGGTAAAGAACATGCTACTTCTTTCTTTTCTTTTCCTCTAAACAATGTGCATTCTGCTTCACAGGAGAAAATGTTATTCTTTAAGGATGAATTAGTGGTAGGCTGCAGAAGAGATTTACTATAAAAGAAATATTTTCTAATTTATTACACACTTAAATCTTGAAAATTAATTTTATATTGGTAGGCAGGAATCCTGCTAGTTGTTTCCCATGTGCAGTAATGATGCAGTGCCATAACAATCCTGTGAAAATAATAGGGAAGACTGCACAATTCTGGTCATGTATTTTATTGTTAATTAAGATATGATTGATATAATATAAATATGGAAGATATAATACAACTGGCACTTGTCTTACTAAGGAAGATAACTGAGAATATGAATTACCTAAACACAAAAAGATGTTCCAAGTATAGCTACTACAAGAATTTGAGATACATAAATAAAAAAACTGTAGGGAAGATAATTTCCGAAAAGAATGATGCCGTTTCCTGAAAAATAAAGGATGATTCATCAGTGGTAGCTGGTGGAGTAAGAACTGATGGGGATTGGAAAGCAGTTAAAGTGGTTCTGAGGCTTTATTAACATAAATTGTCTTGAGCTGAGAAGGCTACCTTGAACAAGTTCATGCAGAGGGGATGCTCCAAAAGTAAATAAAACTCTCAACTGAGCAGTGAGGTACTGATTGGAACCCAGGATACAAATAATTTCTGAACTGGTCAGCTGGTTGAAATACAGATATTACCACTGTGTGATCAATGAGTTATAGATTAAACAGAGCTGAACAGAGAGGTTTTCCATGAATAATTAAGATATATGACATTTTCTATTTTCATTTGGCCATTGGTTTCTGTGATTTGTTTCGATTCACTTAAATTACAGAAGTCTAAATGGAAAAAACAAGCAAGGAACTTGTGTTTGCATTATCAATTTTATCAGCAAAAGATGAGATTTTTTCAGAGTCTAGTTTGGCACAAGGATTCTGGACATGGAGCCAAAGGCGTGAAATATCTTTTAGAAATTCAGCAGAAGGCAGATAAGTATTGGAAATGCATAAAATTCCAGGAGATATAATTGAAAATTTTCTGTTGCCAAAAAAATGTGTTTGAGCACTTCAGATTGGCTAGGCACCCTCCTATATTGCAATGGTCAGAAAAGGCTATTTCTCTGTCAGCTTTCACTTCTGGAAGACTGAAAATTAGGAAGTCTTAAGTTTTAAACACCACCTGAATTATTAAAAAATATATGCCCTATTGCCTCAATTTGGGAAAGTGTTGTCTATTTAATAAAATAAAGTCAGCTTAGGAGGTCTAGGAAACAGTTCCAGCTCATAGTCAGAAGTGTGCACCTCCCTTTATGCACAACTGTGCAGAACAGAAGTGTCTGGTGCCATGTGAGATGCTGTGGACTATCCTCCTGAGTTCCCAGCTGCCACTGCAGAAAAGCAAGAGTGTCCTGTCAGTGCTGTGTTATCCCTGGCATATGGATGTCATGGGGTGTTTCAGTTTGGTTCCAGTTTGTTACAGAATTCACAAGTGACTTTGCATAAATCACATAGTTGCTCGATGCTTTGATTTACCTTTCAGTAAAATTGACATGAACACCACTCAGCACAGGTTTGAGCCTTAAAGGCTCAAACTGTGATGTATGATTATACATTATCTTCTTTTCTAATATGTATTTCAAATATGGTAACACAGATACAAAAGCTCTCCCTTTGGCATGTGTAGCACACTGACCAAATTGACATAAAATCCTGAGGTGTGGAGAGAGCTAAAATACCACTCAAAAGGGACTACAAGGCAAAGAAATAGGTAAAATGACTAAAGGGAAAAATTGCTAAAATGGCTTACCTGGTATACTACTGATCACTTTTGATCCCTAATGTGCTACTTTGGGATTAGGTGTTTAATGTAGGAGGCCTAACTTTTTGGATGTCAAATCCAGAACATTATACAGTTCCCAAAAATGAAAGGGAGTATAATTCTAAATGGGTAAAAAGCTAATGGCTGTGGAATGCTGCTCTGAGATAAAATGAAATTATCCTTTTAGTGTAATGCAGAGAGAGAGTAAAAAGTCAACAATATGCTAGAGAAGTCTATGGAAGAACTTGGAAGAGATGATACCTCTCAGAGCATAACTGCCATGGAACTACTGGAATTCAGTTATTTGAATTGACTTGTATTATTGCAGCAAAAATATGTTATAGCTTAGAATTACTTTTAAAAACTCAGGAAGTCATGCTTGTCTTGTTTATATTACTTGAGTAAGAGACTAATTATTATTTATTATTAGTTGTTTCCATTCCAACCTTTGCTCAGGTTTAGCTGTGGAGGCACATTTTTTGGGTAAAAAACAGAGGGGCTTTCTGCATGGTTTTCTTCTGCATAGAGAGTATCTGTATTTATTTACCCCTGTCCAGACCCTACAAAAAAATCTTTGCACTTGGAATTTGTGACAGGGTAAGGCAAAAGACTATAACATTGAGTGTTGAACCTTAGACAGAATCCAGTCAAAAGCAAGTGGACTTTTAACTCTCAGCATCCCATACGAAGGTTCTTGGGGATCATTCCCACCAGAAGGACTCCTAGGAGGGTGTCCAAGATAGTAACTAAAATCTAGCAGGAATTTTCAGAGCTATTTTGTAGACACATCTTGACTCTCCGGTTGCCCTGAGATCAGGTATTTTTGTAGAAAACTGTTGCTTTCATTAGCTGTGATTTAGTCAGGAGTGCAAAGTAAATATATGTATTTTCTTGCTTAGTATACCTTCTGCTTTATTCAACAAGTCACTTAGTATGTCTTCTGTTACACAAGTCTAACACCATATGTTTTTTGTAAAGGCTTATAGTGCTTTTGTATGTACCATTTATTTTTCCTTTGGTTGTACTTTAGCGAAAGGGAAACTTCAGAAAATGCTCTAATTTCTTTGGTTTAAACATGAAAGAACAGGGGATGTCCCTTAAGGTATATCACCTTGTTTTACAAGAGGTTCAAGTAATTGCCTTCTATTCACTGTGCGTATGTGGAGATTTAGAAAGCATGGTGCTTAAAAAAGAGATCAGTGTGGTGACTTATCAGGGCATTTGAAAGTTGAAGATTGTTAGACAAACTAGGCTTAAATGCCTAGTGCTTGGTAATTACCCCTATGGTTTATACTCCTACTGTCTGCCAGCACCTTTAGAAATAACAACTGGAGTGTCTGTATATTTAAAAAAAAATACTAAAAAAAAAATACATACATAAAGTGATAAAGGAAGAAGTTAGAATAAAGCTGATATCCTACATGGACATGAAGTGGGAAAGCAAGTCAGGAGTACATTAATTCACTCTTTGGTGACCATCTATATTATTAGTTCTTATTAATGAAAGCCTTCATGTAACTGTCTGAACACCTGAGCTGGTTCACACTTCTTATGTCTCTGCACTTGGATGGATTCCACACGGTGCAATAGTTTGATGATCCCGTTGTGAGAGCCAAAGTAAGGGAGCTGACAATCCAGGGTGGTATTCCTAGCGACTCACTACCTCACAGTGAGCTCTTGAGGTGTAAACATATTTGTTCTCATTTGACCATGAATGCAGAGAGTACCACAACAACTAACTGCCCTTGCAGGCATGTGATTAGGCTTAGTTAGATGATGCCTGTAAGGAGCTTTATGATAATCTTCATCTTCATCCTTGGCAGGAAGATCTTGTGTAAGTGTGAAATGATGTGGTTATTTAGTTTATTTTATGACAGGGATCATATTTTTTTCTAAAGCAATCTGCATTTCTTTCCCAAGCTGGCTGTAATGAAGGCAGAATTAATGGTTTGCAAACATCCAGTATTTCATAAGAAACATTCTGCTCAAAATGATAATTTTTGGGATTGGTTATTCATTTCTGTTAGTTGGTGTGCTTTAATTTTTTTAAATTAGATTTTCTTTAAATATCATCTGCTTCGTAAACAGTTATAGTTGTTTCCTACAGCACTTCTGAGGCAGATTGCAGAAGTCACTGTAAGTAGTTTCTGTGATAGTTTTCAGAGCTGTTGAAATCCCATTTTTGAATTCTGATACCGTGGTTTAATTGGGATTGCTACCTTTAGACAAAATCTCATCACTATCATGATGAGAAATCCTATGCTCCTTATTCATTGCAAAAAGGAGTGGTATTTTTAGGGATCTGCAGTATCAAGTGCTTTCATCTGTAAGAATATTGCCAAGTCACAGCGTATGCTGCTAAGAGATGTACACACACCAAAAGAATGTAATTGTAATTGAATCACTTTTACTTATATGGACAAATATATAACTAAATTGCCTGACTTTTGCCATAAAACAGATGCCTGCCTCCCATTTGAGCAATTCATAAACCTGTACTTGAGTATAATATTTTGGTTTAACCACTGTGGCCAAAGTATCTTTCAGCAGAAATGTAAGACTGAAGTCTTGGTTACTTTTGATCACTGAAACCCCCCTGTTACTTTGCAAATAAAGGGCTAATAGTCCTCTCATTCTGGGTAAAATACAGTTTCTACAAATTTACATTTGGTTAAACTTTCTGTTCGAGTTGATTGAGTGTCGTGGTGGAACAATTTGGAAAAAAGGTATTGTGATTCACGCTATAAATACATTGTGGCAAACTGAAGAAAGAATCGAAGTATTTTACTCAAAATAATAAAACTCCTTAAATGTTTAGCAGTAATTTTTTGTACCAGACGGGGGTGAGAAGTAAACGCATACCTTGCAAATTCCATAGGTTGAATTATTCATGGTGAAAAATACAGCTGAACATATAGGAAATTGCCATGATCAACCATAGAAGAATACTAGAGAGGAAACATGATGAACCTGAGTGATTTTTTTCTGAAATCTCAGGTTCTGCAAATTGATCCTTTTTTTTTTTTTTTTGTAATTGTAATACTTTATGTTCTGTATGCTTTCATTGTAAAATTCTAGCTGAATTATTACACTCACTGAAAAGTAAGTAAGCAATTTTAAAAACGTATTTTCTGTTGCA